CCACCTAGGTTCTCGAGAGCGCAGATAAAATAAGCCGTTTAGAGCCTCGAGCATGACAACAGTCGGGGAGCGAGAATAGTCGGGCGGCTAGAAGCTCTCGCGCTCGGCGTGCGGGAAAGGGGCGCCACGCGAGCGCGATCATCGATTCAATCTCGAGGAAAAGCGCACGGAAGCGGGAGAGGGAGAAGTTTACGCTTCGCCTTCGCTGTCTCTTCTCTCTGCGGCGAAGGAGGGCTCGGAGGGCATTGATTTTTCGGCGCGCCGACGCTGCTACATTCTTTGACGTGCACGTCGCCGCGGATGCGCCAATTCGTCGCGCCTCGCAAGCCTCGCGGCCGAGCGACCTGGGCGTTTCGCCCTGCGTTCGTGGGGACGCGACGCAACGGTGGCGAACGGATTGTTAGTTTCGGCTCGCTCGCGACTCGACGGCAATCGATCCGGCGGCGGATTGGCGTTCGAGTAATCGATGAATATGCGAAAATCCCGCTTGTCTTTTCCCTCTTTGGCTTTCGAGCCATCACTTTGATTCTCGATGGGGTGAACTTTTCGCGCAACGCGGCCACGAATCTCCGGATGCGATCGAAGGGAAATGCGTATAGCGATGGTGAGGCGCGCGCGCTGCTTTCGCCGCTTGGGAGAGACACCGCAGGCTACCTGCGAGCGCCTCGGGAAGTCCAACGGAGCCGAAGCTCGCCGACTCTCCGTGTCTCTCTGGTCGGGTCGGGGTGACCGGCGCGGCGTGTCTGTCGTGTGGCGCGCTATTGATTTTGCCGGCCGCCTCGCCGCGAGTTTAAAGCGAAAGGTACACCCTCGCTCGCCGCGTGCATCGATGCGCAGAGCGCGCGTGCTGCATGCGCGCCGCGATATCAACGTGCCGAGCGCGCCGTCCCGCGCAAAATTGTTTATCCAATTTTCTCCTTGGACGTCGCGCGCTCGTCCGCGCGAGCGAGCGCATCGATCTCCGCCGGAGACGCTGAGCACGCGAGCCCAGCCATTGCTGCTACCTTTGGCAATCGGAACGCTGAACGGCCCCGGATTTTCATTTCGACGCCGCGTTCGTTGCGACTGGCAAGCGCTGAACTTCCGACATCGGCGAACGAGAGCGAATGTTGCGGCGGTGAGCGGCTCGAGGCTGCGCCTGTCGTCGAATCGCACGCCCTGGCCACCTGGTTCGCGAAGCAGAACGAAATGACGCGTCGCTCCGAAACTTGTCGGCGGCAGAGGCGATTTCGGCGCGGCGCGAAAACGAAACGGTCTCCGACGTCGCCCGCGCCGATTGCGAGGAAGCCTCGACGAACGCGGGCGCGCGCGCCAAAATTGCCCGAAAAACTTGTCGTCTCTGGGCAAGACCACGCGCACTTTACGACGCCGTTACTCAACGCTAATTAAGATGCCGCGAGCGAGCCAGTTAATACCAACGCAACACGAACCTGGATACTTGCGCTTGTGCTCGGCGTCAACCTCGCGTGCGAGTGCGAAGTATTTCTCTTTGACGTCCTTCGACATGGTCTTCCACAACACGCCGAGCCTGAAAAAAAAATGGAAGAATTCGAGAGCGACTCGAGCGACGAGTCCAGCCTTGCCGCTCCGTCGACACGCGCACCTAACGCTTATGTCCTTGTTGGACTCGCGAGGATTCTCCGTGGCGAGCTTCTTCCGCCACTCGTTGGCGAAGAGCATGAACGCGTTGGCCGGTCGGGGAATCCGCTGCTTGATCGGGCCGACCGTCGCGCAGCTGTTCTCCTCGTTTTCGGGCGACAACGGTGGTCGCTCGACCGCGATGGTTGCCTTAGAGTGGATGCGTATTTGGTGACGAGTTGGCGAGTTGGCGTGTTTCTCGGTCAACACGCCGATCAGCTGGCACTTCTTTGTTGGATTGTCCGCGGCCGTTGTCGGTTGCAGACGCAGCAGGCGCTTGCCGTCGAACGACAGCGCGTACAGCTCGTGAGCGCCGCCGGCGCTCCCTTCTCCTCGTTTTTTGGCATCTGCATCGTTATCAACGTTGCGCGTGAGGGCGACAATGCACTTTTCAAAATTAACAGTTCAATCGAACTTTCTCCCATCCAAGCCAATCGTGAGTTTTGAGATTGAAGCTTGCCTTGCGCGACTCGCAAACGCGACTAGCAACAGTTGCCGGCCAAACAATCATGCACGACGAAATCGAAAACTTGGCCGAACTCGTAACACTCTTACCTGTCTCTGCGAGCTTCACGACGCTCTTATCCTTCTCCATCGTCGTCGACAATGCAGAGCTGAAGGAATCCGCTTTTTTCCACCGATCGTTTCAGCGCGGACGTCGATCCGCGGGCGATCCGCTGGTCGCAGCTTCGGATAAACGAGTGGCCGTTGTTGCGCGCAACGGCACGCGGCGCTTGTTGTTGAAAAAAGCCGACAGTCGCTGCTCGTTGTCAAGAAAAGTCCGCCAACCAAGCAACAAACAAAACCGGACAGCCGACGATCGTCGTTTTCGTCCAGGCTGCCGCTGTCTCTGTCCGTCTGTCTGTCTGTCGGTTTCTCTCACAGGCTCTCCCTTGGTTTCGGAGACGCGCGCGAGAGTCGGGCAGCCAGCAAGCATGGCCGGAGGCTGCCAACCGCTGCGAGTGCACGGATTTGCTGGGCATCGATTATTACGCGGCGCTCGGTCTCGGCCGCGACTGCAGCGAGGCCGACGTGAGGAGGGCGTAAGATCCGAGCGCTTCGATAACCGTCCGCTCGCGTGGTCGCGATCGATCGTCCGCCGAATGACCGAGCTCGGCGCGCGAATTCTCGCGAGTCAGCCGCGCGCAAATCGTTGTTGTTGCTGCGGCGGCGGCGGCGGCGGCGGCGGCGGCGACGACGACGATGACAACGACGACGACGACGCGATCGTCAAAGGAAAAAGAGCGCGACGCTGAAAGTCAGTCGCGCGGGCCAAGTGACGTCAACGCCGCTGCCGCGGGCGAGACTCGATGGCAGTGGTGGGACGGAGGAGCAGCCTGCGATTAATCAATTTGAAATGTCGCGCTCTTCCAGCTCGAGCCTCGATCATTTGAGGCGTCGAAGCCGCCGCCAGACGCGACGACGATGCTGGAGAGCAACGACTACCTTCAGGGCCAACCTCGCTCTGCTCCTCGTCGTTGTCTTTCTGCTCGCGCGACTCTTTCCTCGCGAGGATAGCAATCGACAGTAAGCCGTGTCTCTTTCCTCACACAAACACACAAACACACACACACGCACACACTCACTCACTCTCTTACTCTCCGTCTGGGCGCGCGCGCTTTCTTCCACGTCGTATTTGCGCTGTTGATCGCGTCGATTCGCGTTATCGCCGTCGTACAGCTGTCCACGCTTCGCGACGTGTGCCCCGCCGTCCTCCCCCTTTTCATTCTCTCCTCTCGGCTTTTGATTCTGTATTCGTGGCTTCTGCGCTTGGCATGGATAATATTTTTCCGCTCGCACAGCAGCTACAGCGACGTCACAGCCTGCTATTTCCTCGACACATCATTTCCAACCGAGAGCGTCGCGCAATCTCTCATTTTGCTCTCGTGCAAATTTCACGTCCATTATGCCGTCCAACGCCCACTCTCCCGTTAAAAGCTCCCGCTGCATTTTCGTTGGTTATCTCAGCTTCTGTGTTCGCCAAGAGGACATTTATCTTCCTCCGCGCCATTAACGTCTTGTCGTGCGCTCGAAGGAGCAAGAGAGAGACAAAACAAACATCATCGACGTTTTAGTTTCAGACGACTGTCCCTCCGTTTCCATCCCGAGCGACGTTTGACCGCACCAGGAGCAGGACGAAGTCGACGACAAAGTTGCCTCGCGAAAAGCCGCATTTGCCGTCGTAGCCGAAGCTTACGAGGTCCTGTCTGATCCTCTGAGAAGGGCGTTTATGAGCAGTTCGGCGAGGAGGGACCAAGAAGGGAGTTTGCGGATCAGACGGCCAAATTTCACCGTATGTCTTTCATGGAGATCCGCTGAAAACTTACAGGTGTGCGAGTGTGAATTTTATGTTTTATAGCTTTACGATGTTACGTAAGAGAATCGATGTTAGGCTTAATTGTTTAATTGAGTGGTGGTTTCAATTCTTTGCTGCATTTTACTCAACGGTTTGATTAAGTTCATTTAACGCGTAGTTGTTCTATAATTCGAGTTTTAAGTATAGATGGCTCCAAGTCGATCGGATTATGCCACAAAAACATCGTTAAATTGTAATTTAATGCCATGTACGAAGGTCGAAAATAACTTGCAACGACATAATTTATTGTGTTTTCATTTATACACCGGTAGGTATGCATAAAACGTCAAAAATGCAAACCTTATATCAAATCATTAAGTATGGAAATTAAAAATGACTAATCTCAATTTAAATTGGTTTGAAAGCGAAGTATCAGTCAAAAAAAAAACAAGATAGCGGTATTCAAAATGAGCAATTGGCTGCTCACAACCGACACTAAAACTAAATCACAGAAGCCATTTCTTCTCGAGCGATTTCCCCGCTGTTATTCTTATTCAAAGTACCCTCTTACCTTCGAATTACCACCTCTTCCCTTCTTCCCTTATCCTCGTGTTAATTAAAAAAAAAAGAAGAAACGAGAGAGAACGAATGCCCCCCAAGGCAACTCTTATTACCTCGTCTGTTCCCTTTCTCCCCAACAGAGAATTCTTTGGTACGGAGAATCCTTACGCTGATTTACTCGACAACAACGTCAATCGCGTGCCACTCCACGACTGCCCGAAAATTCGGAAAAAAGATGAGCCTATCGTCAAACCTCTTCCTCTTACTTTGCACGAAGTACGTACTTTAATGTTTTCCCGCCGCCAATCTCCCGAACTAAGCGCCTCGTTTCTAAAACGAAAAACACAAACAAACAAACAGGTATTCCACGGCGGAGTGAAGAAGATGAAGATGCAGCGTCGGGTCCTCGGGGACGAAGCAAAGTGCGCGCGAACGGAGGAGAAGATTCTCTCGGTGCGGATAATGCCGGGAATGCCGTCGGGAGCAAAAATCGTCTTCCCCGAGGAAGGCGATCAGACTGCGAGCAGGATTCCCGGTGAGCATTCTTATTATACACTCGTCTTCGATACGCGCTGCTTGCTTCGGCATTGTGCACCAAATCGCATTTGAAATCTGTGAGGCGCGACGGCTCTCATTCATCACTCAACTTTGGGTGGCGCTCTTAAAAACTTCGATTCCTCTTCGGCGCGTCCCGACGGTTCGAGCTTGTATTTTCGATGGCGTTACAGGTCGCGCGCCACGTCGCACAGCTACGACGGAAATGTACTCTTCTTATCGAGCAAATTCTTCGCAGAATCTCCTTGGATTAAAGACTCGTTTGAAGTTATTGTTACGTTATCTTAAATTCAGTCGTTTCCCAATGTAACTTGTAATTTTGATTTACGAATCGGTTTTAGCGAACTGCGACATTTCCTTGCAAAGAATGATTACCATGGTAATAATAATATTATTATTCTACACATAGAGATGTTGCAGTTGGCTGAAGTATCAATCAAAATTAGAATTATTCTTTGATTTCCATGTTGCACAATCACGAATCACCAAATTAAATTCAAGATCTTACTCTCCATTTGTATTTGCGTTCCTCAATCGCATCATACGAAACATCGATCACTCATCTAGAAAGCAAAATAATCCAAATGAAAACTCATTGCAGCGGATATAGTATTCGTGACGGAGGATAAGCCGCACGAGGTATTCAAGAGAGACGGTTCAGATCTGAAAATGACGGTAGATATATTCCTAAGCGAAGCCTTAACCGGGACCATTGTCACCGTGAGAACAGTCGACGAAAGGCTGCTACGAGTGCCGATAACGTCGGTCATCTCGTAAGTTTAGCATATTTCCATCTGCGCGCACATGTCAATGCCAGAGATGACATTGAACGTCTTCCTTTTTCTCTGCTCGCGCGTAAGACGCGCGCCTATGCTAATGCCGCGTAGACGGCAGCTTGTTTTTCTCTCCTCGTTGCCGAGATTAGCAACCGGACCGAAGCGCGCCTCCTTGGTCGCGAGTAATTTTTGCGCTGCAAGTGAAATCGGCATGCCTTGTTTCGACGCGTTCGCCAAACTTTTTTTTACGACGATCACTCTTGAACGTCTCTCGAATAGTCCGAAACTCGCGCCTGCGACATCGCACGTTTTTTTTCTCATTGTAGTCAAACGTAAAGCACACTTCGACGTCGCTCGTCAATGCTGTTGCGGCGAACGAAAGACCAAAAAAAAAAAAAAAATCAAAACACTCGTTGACTGTCAACAGGCCAGACTACGTAAAAACAGTCCAAGGCGAAGGTCTGCCGCTCGTCGACGATCCAAGCAGCCGAGGCAACTTGATCATCAACTTCAACATTGAGTTCCCGTCGTACTTACCACCGTCCAGTAAAAAACTACGTGCGAAAAGCTTTCGAAGCACAGTACGCCGACAACCACGCTGAGGATATCGGCGAAAGCGGTTTCGGTGTCGACCAAATGCGTCGGATAGTGTTGGCTGGGAAAACCTACATGAGAGCTGATAAATTATCGCAGATCTGTACGCCTTGACGATCTTTTTCTTTTGTTGATTTTTTCTCTTTCGTTTCTTTAACTGAATAAATCATTGATTTGGGTACATCTCACGTTTAGTTTGACTTGATACTATTCGCAAGGTGAAAGTGTTCGAGACGTGGGCAATTAGAGGTAAAAGCCGAATTCGGTACGATAAGCCGAATTTTCAAAAATCTTACGTTACATCACGCGCTAATAATTGAAAAGCACGCGTTGACAAGTGGAGAAGCCAGTTTTTCCGACAGCGGCAATCTAATAAGTATTGAGTCACGTCGAATTGTGAAATGAGTCGAGTCAATATATACAGACGTCGGACGGGCCGATAAAGCAGCGTTCTATCTCGGTAAGCGCAGTCTCGCGCGATAAGAGTCGCCATCTGTTAAGCGACGCCGTAGACTGCGATGCTGTACGTTCACCGCAACATCCGACGTGGGGCCGACAAACGACTGCAGTTGCTCACGAACCACGCAATCAATCCCATCTTCCTCACCTGTCCAAACTTCTCTCTTTCGCTCTATTGTCTGCGCATGTTATATAGCGCGCCTCGCAGAGTACTGCATAGTTTACATCGCGTGCGAGTGAGAGAAAAAAAAGCGCCTCGTCTAACTCTATATAGCAGCGCGCTACCAACTCTCTCTCTCTCTCTCTTCGCGGCGGATGAGGAGAAGTAAGGGGAAGCCGATCATATGACTCGGCCGCACGTGACTTTATTTACAGTTGGCCGAGCGCGGCTCTCACTCTGAGCGAGCTGCTGCTGCACTCCCCGATGCCATCCGAGGACGATGTCGCTCATCGCTAAGCTCTGGCCGAATTACTGCAAATCGTCCGAGAATCGACACCCGAACAAGACTCTGCTGCCGCAGTCTCAGAGTCCGCATGACGCGACTGCCGCTGACAGGTGAGTGAAAGTGCGTTGTAACGAAGCTACGCGCGTAGTTTCTGTTTTTTGTGCTGCACGTTTCCGCGACGACGGTGAAGTGCGACGGGGAACGGAATTGTCGTGCTACAAGGGTGACATTTGCAAACGTCAAGACGAGCTCAGTCTCGTGAAATAGGACACATCGAATTTTATGAAAAATAAAATCCTTTTTTTACTTCCGGGAGTGTCGTAGAATAGAATCGTAGCGCGCATCAAATTCTTTCTTCGAAGACGCGCGCACGCCTAAATCTACCCGTTCCATTGACCCGCACGAAGTTAATATTTCTTCTTTTTTTCTATTCATAGTAAAACAATATCTGGATGCACCGCGTTGACTCTGTTCTGTCTTCTCGATCGATGAAAACAACAGCATTGACGTATACTCGCGATTCGTTGCAGTCCTTTCAGCCTCGCAAACCTCTTGATTTCCGCGCGCGAGCGTGGCTCGGACGAAGAGAGGCCACAAGGTGAGCTGTGGTAGCGTGCGAAGTCTTTCTCTTTCGCTCTCCTTTCTCTCGTCCGGAAAAATCAAAGCTTCCACATTGCGGTTAGCAACATTGTGTTTGGCTTCGATGCTCTACTGTTGTTCTCTCAATGAAATCTCGTCATTCGCGCTTTACGTTTCTTTCCGAGTTATTGGTATCGACGATAATATAGCGAAGGGAAAAGGCGTTGGTCGATAGCGAGAGTTACGTTATGTCTGCTGGTATACTTTTTTTTTCTTCGCAGATTACCACACTACTGTGCGAACATTTTGCATACTTTCACCTGTGCGAAATGCGGTTGCTTATTATTATTAATAGTCTCGCGTAGTTTGTCGTGGTTTTCGTGCGGAGTCCTTTGCTTCCTTTTTGCCGGCGAATGCTTCGATTAAATCTTTCGGATATGCATTGAGATAATTTGTCATTACTATTTTTTGAAATCATAAAATAAATCATGTAAATAATGTGTTTAAATTTTCAGTTTTTTAATTTTGCTTCATATAGACATTTTGTTATCCAATTTTGTAGAGATATCAATTTTTCTTCGTCAAAATAAAAAATTGAATTTCAACAAGTTTGAAATAAGATTTGAAGAGTTTTCACGTCGATGCTTTTACGTTTAAATTGATTTTCTTTTATCATTCGAATCGAGAGCGACGATGTCGTAATATTGAAATCCCGTCCGCGCCCGTGCAAATTATGATTTCCGTAATTCGACAGGAGCGAATCATCGTTTGATTTCAGAAATAAACTAAACAAGGAAGTGGACCCCGTAAGAATCCTATTGTTTCGCGAGTGTGAATGGCGTGCACGAAAGCTTCTCTTTGACTCGTATGCTCTTGAGAGAAATCGACGCGCGGAGAATAACAATGAAGCACCGACGAGCTGCAGAAACGGCGGCGTCAACAGCCAACGCGGTAACACTCCCGAAAGCTCGGCTTGCGAGGTAAGCTTTACTCAATTGATTTGCTGTTTCGTTTTCGTTTTCATTCGCGCGATTGTAGTTTTTTACTCGAACATCGCATGCTCGAAATGTTTATTCATTCGAGAAGAATTTTGTTCAATATGTAATCTTTGATCAGAGATTTTGGTTGAAAAGTGGCCTTTCGTTAATCATAAATTATACAATGTATATCATTTTACGGGCATCAGATAGGTTATCTCATTAATGGTTTAACAGATGAAAAGTTAATTTAAATTCACTTGTAAGTTCAATCAGAAGGACGCGGTTTTTACGTAAATATTGCAAAAGATTCCAGATTACTATTGCGCGTGATTTGAAAATGCTGATCTTCCTTGTCTTCGTAATTTCATATAGTTTGCGAAATAACTGCGTAATTATGATTTCATAAGAAGCATATCATTGATTATTTTTCTCTGATCCATTGATACTTATCCGTCTAATCTCATCTCGTTACTCGAACAAAAAAAAACAAGCTTACAACACGCAGTAGAAAATTACAGTATCAAATATTTGAATGTGAAATTACAGCATGGAAAATTACTTAGCGAAGACATAAGTTTACTGAGCGAGATGATCTTTGGTACGGTGGCGATGACCTACCGGGGCCCCTCGTTTAAGATCCACGCGATGAGCAGATCACCCAACTCCATCATGTGCACCAAGGTCTTCCCCTTCTCGGAGCACTCCACTTGCAGGCAGAGGTATATATCGCTTGAGCCGCATTACTCTACCATATCGTACACACACACACACACACACACACACGCACACGCACACGCACACGCACACACACACACACACACACACACACACTTACGAAACGTGTAAAGTTTGCATGCTTGTATTTGTCGTCGTTCAATGCCACGCATTTTCGATCGTCTTATTTGGTGTACGTGTGGGCATTGATGGGTAAACAAGTTTTGCAGAGGCAAACGTCGTGCAGTTTTCGCAGCAATCAGTATAATTTTACCTAATATATCTTTCAGCGAACAAAAGTCCAGTGAGACTCTTGGCACATCGAACTCGAGCTATTCCAGCTTACGAACTCAAAGTGAGTTTCCCAAAAAGTCTCCGTTGTCACTCGCAACATTTGACTGATTTTTTGCCTTGTCACCTTTGTCACAGATTCTCGGAGCTCCGGAAATCCTTCCGGAAACAGTGTGAGCCCAACTCTGCGCAAAAATTCCACGAGTTCCAGCACCGGAAGTGGCTGGGACATTGATATTCCTAGACTCGACAGTGAGTTTTTTTTTGTTCACGTGTGTAATCTGTGTATTATCATCGTAGCCGCATGAATGTAACGTGTTATAGCTGGACACTGTTCGCTCCTTGCATGCAAAGCTTACGCTGGCAAAGTTAGAAAATATTCGTTCAATTGCGTTGTTAAGTTCGATCTGTAACGATGAGACGCCTGATGATTGATCATCCGAATCCGATGACCGTAGCTTTTTCTAATAGACAACTTTGAATTCTTAAAAATTCAGGCTCGCAATCACTGGATGGCAACAATTCGTCGTCGAATCTCTGCCAAGGAGGTAGCCTGTCGAGTTTACGGCGTCGTTGGCTGCGCGTCATTTCGACGTCGCTGAGCCGATCAGAATCGAACGACTTTGGTCATAACTACGAAGGTTCACCTTGCGACGCTGCTGAGATTCACGCGCGGAAACACAAAACAAGGCTCGGTTTAGCCTTGTTACTTCAGCTGCCACCTGGTTACGAACAGTGAGTTTACTGCACGGCCAAGTCATGTGATTGTTGAAAAAATAAACGGAACGAATTCGGTTTGGCAGAAAAATATTTTAGTTTGCTTAAAATAGCTCATTGTTGAAGTATATATCTTTCTTGGATAAGTAATTAGGAAGAGAGAAATAGAACTGCAAATATAGGAATCTGTTTAAATTTATTTTTGCAACCTTGAAGCGTGTCATGGAAATTTGTCTTTTCGTAGCTCTTCGTTGATTACGTTTGGGCAAACATCGCTTTCTGAGCGCTTCCAAAAATATCACGTTTTTTTCTTCTCTGACACATCACAAAGCACCGAACACGATTTCTTTTCAGTCGCCTTGAACGAAAAACAACTGAAAATATTTTCACGATACCCCGTTTGTCAATGATAAAACAACAATAATTACATTAACCGTCGACTTTTGACGGCGTACGCACTGATTTCGTCAACGTGATAAGGAAAAAATGAATCAACGTTATGATAATAAGCAAGCCGATGGTGGCATGGATGAACTACATACCTAATGTGTCAATTATTTTCACCATGACCCACATATTCGCGCACACGTGACATAATCGTTATTTCTATCTTTTTCTCTCGTTTTCTCTCTTTTTCTCTTTCACTCTTCCTCTAAAATGCAAATCGCTCGCAATGTTTTTCGTTTTGAAATCATGGAGGCCCAGTCAATTGAAAAATCATATACAATAAGCTTTGATATCGGCGCGGTCATTGATATTCTGGCAGCATTATGCAATTATACCGAAGTGAGCGCGGGCTTCGCGCGTGTCTACGTGAATCATCAGCGAATGACTCGTGATCCCGTGAGCTGCCAATCGCTCCGAGGCATCACGTGAGAGATTCCATCGAATACATACACTTATCTTATCGCTGTTTACTCCTTTTTAATTTCTCGACAGTTTCATCCATTATTTCGCAGTTGCATCCGGCTATGCTTTAATAATTTCGCGCGATAAATATATGCATCGCTTAGTTTGATACGAGTGCGCGCATCCATTATTCTCCACTTTATTAATAAACTTTGTTTATTTTTGATAGCGTGACTTGATCTAGTTAGGAACGCCAATCTATTTTGTCTTCGTTGCGATGTGTGTGTGTCACATGTCACAAGCAAATTCGTCGATTAGATCATAAATGATTTCTTCTTGCAAATGTCTTGTCAAAGTGTCTTTCGAAGCCGATGCCAGATTACAAATTCAGTTGCCAAAAATAATTGTATTCCTTATGAATCGTTGCTTCGTAAACCGATAACGTATGGTGATTGTTTTTCTCTTATTTTTATTATGTCGACTCGAAGTCAAATGAGTTCTTGTGCGGTGAACGGTCACGTGAAAAACTTCGAATCAACGTTTCCTCGGCAGCGTGACGCAGCCGACGATATTGTTTTGTCGCTAAGCTAACAAAAAAATGTCCACCTTGAGCATTATTTTTCCAACTTGATTCGTATTTCTAACGACACGACTGAATTTTTGATTTGTGAGCTTTTATTTGCATTCGACAAAATATCCAATTCCTTTCTTCGATGAAAGAAAAAATGATGCCAAGGCAGCGCAAAAATCGCACCTTACTTATTGAGAAATCAATTATTTTCAGAAAAATCAGCAATAAGCTGTTGGAACACGCAGCGCTTCTCGAAGGTGTACTCGACCGATTGCGACACTCTTGCGCGGAGGGCAGTCATGGTCCCGAACGTAGCCTCATCACGCGACTGTATCATGCCTCGAACTCCTGCACCTTGCAATTGCTCAGATTGCTGACGAGCTCCGAAAACGAGTCGCCTGTGCCATTACTTTGGCACGACCTGTTGCTTAACTCTGCATTACCTGTTGACATACAAGTGAACACGGTTTGCAGAAGTTTGCAGCAGATGAGTCGGCTACTCGAGGAATTTGACGTTAAGTCGACGAATTTGTAAGTTTATAACGTCGATAAGAATATTTTACGAAGCTCTCGGCAAATACAAGTACTTTGAAATAATAGAACGTTGTCCAGATTTTATCGTGAAATCGAGGCTAAAGACATTTTTTTAATTTTCCAACCTCTAAAACTTGATGTAAACAGTAGACTGACATACAACAATTCACTTGTGTAACCAGCAAATCAGCGAGCAATATGTACTCAGAACTTTACGACCTTTACTACATATGCACACGCGGTGTGTTGTGCACTCAAGATAAATCAAAGTTTGTATACATACTCGTGAAGTAGACACGCGTTGTTAGTTAGCGGTCAAGATAACGCACGTGACGTACATGCATGTCATATTTTCCTTTGCCGACATGCGAACTCAAGTTTGCACTCTCGAAAAGTAACGGCAAATATTTATCGCGAGGAAAGATTATTCTTCTTCCTCTTTTTTTTTCAACGAATTTATCATTTATTGAATTTGTATTTTTACGTGTAGCTTTCTCAGTACTATCGTCACGGCTGTTTTAACGCATCACTTGGGCTGGGTTCACACGGCGCCGGCTCATCGGAACATGCAATTGGTAATTTTAGAATTTTAGTTATCGATGGCTTGCGTAGTTGATCCGATTTATTTCAGTAAAGACGAAAACTAACACACGCCTAGATCATTTAACGAGCATACATGAGAGCTGTTACAAAAGTAGTTGATAACAATATGTAATACCCACAGATGGAAACGTTTGGCCAGCAGTATCCATGCAATCCTCTATGGTCTCAATTGAACGACCTGTACGGTGCCTTGGGCACACCGGTACGAATATCTCATACAGTGATAGCCGCTGAGCCAGGAAAAGCCCATCTCATCGAATCAGTGTTGAACTTCCTCTCGTACTTTCTGCGCAGCGGTCTCGTCGAGAAATATCAAGAGACTCGTTGCGCCGACCAGGAGGATGTTCAAGAAGCAATTGCTACGATCGAGCGAGCGATGCGCAAGAATCCAACTCTGAAACAACTACCAGTGCCACCAACAACCAACAGCAAACGAATCTTCAGGCGGACGAAATCGATCGAGAGCGACGCAACTCTCTCTTGCTCTGTTCCCAAATCCAAGTCTTACGACGAACCAAGCTCGAGACTCAAGTTTGAGGTGACCAGCGCTGATTCGTCGTCGGTGAAGACGCATAATTTCGAAAAGACGCCTGTGGAGCCTGTAAAGAAACTGAAGAGAAGTAGCATGTTGCAGAAGAACTTGAGCGAGTTTGATACTGCTGACGAGGTGGATAGTCAGGTGAAGAGTAAGGTGAAGATTATCGTGAACAATGAGAACGAGAGGCAGGTATATAAAGATGGCACGTTGAGGAATCTCGAGAAGACTGAGGTAGATCAGAAGTTTGCAATGCTTAGGCGGCAGAAGCTCAATGGTTTCAACAGCCTTGATTCTAATTCGAAGACTTTGTGAGTAACTATAATACAATATCTTGTTTCATTGCCTCGCGAATATTTATTCGATCGTTTGCATTTTCTATTTTAGCGACGCTACATCTTTGGTCTTTCCTGCAACCTTTGTCGATGACATCGCTCAGCAAGCGTCAAAACCGCAAGTGTATTTCACCTTAGGCAGTGAAGATAAAACCAACGTGTCGATTCGCGAACGTCTGAAGCTAGCTTGCAAGTGTCAATGCTCTTACACGTTCACCAGAGTTCCAAGCACTTCGGCTGAATTACCCGAAGGAGTTCTACGTAAAATCTTGCAACGTAACTTTCCCGAGTCGTCGAAGAACATGCAACCAACGACGAGTTGCGAAAATGACTTTGGAGTGTGTTTGAAGTGTCGACGTGGATTCGCCGGCTCCTCGCAGGGTTTCGAGAGTAAATTAATGCTTGAAACACCAACTAATGCTACTGAAGTGTTGAGGGGTTGCGCGAGTAGTACCAGTTCACATGTTGTTCGGTCAAACAGCTTGGAAGCATTGATCGAAGCTAGTTGCGTTATAGAATTGCCTATGCCGAGGTAAGAATAAATTGTCTTGTATTTTCTACAAGATTTCTCATCATGATTTTTCTAAAACATTTGTACTTTAGATCAAAAAAAATTCCACCATCCCAAAGAAAACGATCGATGGAACGCGTTGGCTTCACGAGAAGCCTTCTCAGTGCAAAAACTCACATACCAAACGACAATTTCACTTGCCCCGAATCGGGGTACACGTGGGGAAAAGTAGTACAAGGATTTACGAAGAAGAAAAAGAAAGGTCGACGAAGAGTCGACGAGCAGTCAGATTCGAATCAAGAGAAACTAAGACGAGAAAGTGAAGAATGGTGGTGGCCAATTCGCGAAGGTCTCAGTGTCGAAGCGAAATTCCCACTGATCGATCAGCCCGTATCCGAAGCTCTCTGTATCATTGGTGATTTGGATAATTGGCAGGTTGGATTGCTGTCGAACACTGCTGGTAGTCCAACTCCCACACCCGTCGGCATGTCTAGACTAGTATCTAATATGCTGGAAGCCTTTGCTTACTTGTGGAAGGAGTATAAGTCTCCTGAGCAGGTAAATTTTTGTATTATATTGTCGTGCGGCTGCAGTTATTCGAAAGTGCATTTTGGTCAATGGTGTGGAATTTAAAAATGGCCAAAGTCAGGCACACAAATATTTATTTTTACACTGGCTATTTTGCGAAACAAACAATAATACGAGATGATTTAAAAATACATCCAAGACTTTGTTCTGTATTCTCTCGCTAACTAGCAAATGTTTATTTTCCTTGCAGTGTATCAAACTACTCGAAAGCCGCCTACGCGAGATGTGGCTGCGAAGTGAGACGCTCGCCGAATTTCTTCTCGCCGCAGATCTGGCTGATGCGAGCGTCGGTAATCTGACGAGTTTTCTCGACTTTGATGCTGCGGACTTACCTCTACTACTGGCCGTCGCTACAACTCACTCGCCACGGATAGCTCAACGCTTCGGTCTCACTCTTGCGTAGTGGAATCTTTAGAATTGTGATATAATCGCAGAAAGAGAGAGAACTCTTTTTATTTTACATAGACATGTGTAAGGTGTGTGATTTTGATACAGTCGCGATAGCATGTATATATTTTGCATAAACGAACACAAGGCATTCGACTAAGAATAATACGGATTCAAGAAGATGAGAAACATTGCGCCGTCTATTTTTTGTATGACTTGTCTGTGCCTATTTATTTATAATAACATCGGAGCGAAGGCTAACTGCATTATTGTACCGTATTGTGCTTCTATTTTGTTATTATTGAGAACTCAAATGCTCGAGATATTATTATTACTGACTGCCACTCGCGATATTATCAATTTTTGCGTTGTCGAGGATTATTGTACTGATTATTAGTTATACGTCCGAGAGAAATGAACTTTTGTGGGATGAATATTCGAAGTAGTCTTTCTTTTTTAGTGATACTGGAATATCATTAATGTACTGCTACTGGGCTTCAATTATTATAATCGTTATGATATTAAAACGTTATTGATATTATGTAACTTTAATGACTGTTGACTATTCATTATTCAAATGTTGATGATTAATTGTCGATTGAATGTGATAAAAGATTTATATACGTGGAATAAATGTTTTTGTTTTTTTCTACCAAACGTGATAACAAAAAATGTAATAAAAATTAAAATTAAAGCGAAATTTTTCGTATGAATCCTGTTCTTTAATTTTTTATTAAAAAATCCTTTGAATATTTCACATTTTCAATTGTTTTTTGTCGTTATAACTAACCTCCAGTGTAAATTTTGTTAGTTTACTACTAATATCTTCAAATCCGCCGGGGGGTGTAAGTTTCAAAATTTCAATTTATGTGACTTTTGCGATCTAATTTATTTTCGTTTGTCTTCAAAATTTATTGAAAAAAATGGAAATCTGCTTACAAGATCGGTGAGTTTGTTATAATTTTTCTGAAATGCCCGAAATGGTGATCACATCAAATTGTTGGTTATTGTAGCTTTCCGCGTGAGAAGTTGACATCCCTGTTAGACATAAAAAATAAAATTCGAGTAAGACAGAGTTTTCCTGCATTTATTGCCTAAATTACAACAGTTATCTAGTGACTTAATTTTCAATAATTTTGCTCAGGTAGGTCACAGTGAGTGTTGCAATTGTTGTTGTTGCAAATCTCCAGAATTCAAAGCTTACGTAAGTAACTATTCTGTTCTTTAAGGAGAAAGTTAAGAATGATATAAGAGTGAAAATATTTGTCAATAGAAATACATCCAGCCAGAAATACCAAAATCTTTTAAACCAATTAGGGTAAGATGATGTCATAAAGCAAATACTTTACCTACAATATATTCAATTAGTAATAAAATATTCATTTAAATAGACATACGACAAATCAGATGATCCTGTGGAAGGTTGTACGACATATAAACTGTCATTTTGGCCAAACCCACCAGTAGCCACAAAACCTATCTTGCCAAGAGGGTACTTGGGTATTCCTGACTGTCCGTTGTCTAGTGACACGACGCATAAAGTATATTTTTTCATTAAATGATAATTTCAATTTTACTGAAAGCTCCGTTATTTACGCTCATGTTTGTGCAGATGAGTTATCTAGGCAACTGGGCTGTAAAGCAACAGCAGAAGATTCTCCCTTGTATGAGAAATTGGTTCGGTCGAGGACCTATAGACGACAAAACGACACAGAAGAAAGACTTCACGTGGAAGTGCGGCCGCAAATTGGATCCAATCAAGTACAGGGGCAACTTGTGCCTACCTCGAGGAGCAGTAGAAGGTGAAGTCTATCGGTGTTTTATTTTATTTTATAACTTTGCCTCATTTAAAATCGATCGATCTAGACAACACAACATACAAAATGAGCTTTTACGAATCGAATTGCCACGAGCCAGTAAAATCTTTCAAACCCATCCGTTGTTACGAAAAATCCGGTGAGCCACTCGAGGACTATACTACTTACCGCCTCAGTTTCTTCCCGCAAGAACCTCCAAACAAGGTGAATTTTAATAATAACAATGACTGGCGACAATAATTAATTTAATTTTTCGATAACATTCTAGGAAACACATCCATGGCAGAAAAAGCCACAGTATCATCAGCCAACGACGCCACTGGAAGGCCGCACCACGTACAAGCTGAGTTACTGGCCACACTGTGAAGAGCGAGTCAAGCCGATCAAGCACCAGGCCGAGAACAATTTGCTAAACCGTAGCTGTTGTTTCGACGATAATACAACATACTGTTTGAGCTACTTTGGTAGCTGTGGAGACAAATCGAAGCCAGTGTTGCCGAGAGGACACAAAATCTTCGATGATTGCCCCATCACGCATGATACCGTAAATAAGGTAAGATTTTTTTTCTCCTTTGTATAATTAGTATGAAAAAATTTTTTATTTTTTATTTTTTATTTTTTTGGTTGACCAATTGTTACTTTGCATCCTGACATTGTTGATATGGTAAAATAATCATGTTGTATCAGTAGTAGTCTTACGATAACCAACAAAAAATAACATAATAGCTTGAAATGTATTTATTTCGAATACTAAAGCCATCTAAATTTTGATTGATCCCTTGGAATCACTGGAGAGATCACAAATAAATGAATAACAACGTCAATATTTCTGAAGTCCTAATATTCATTAATAACTTTGGATTTGTCGTTTGAATGTTCCGACTGCTTTCAACACTTTATTCGTGTAACTAATTTTTGAAGATTTTGTTATTTGTCTGACATTTTTTATTACTCGATGTTAAACTTGAATACGTTTACAATACAGTACATAACTCAATCCTCGTAAACGTCCATGCGAATTTAGTAAGTTTTACGGATTTGTAGATCATAAATTAATAATTTGTTGGTGAGGTCACCTGATAATCTTATCGTTAGAATCTTCGATGTGAATTGTTACGTGCAAATAAGATAAGTTTATTATCTAATTTGCACATGATAATTTACTTATTAATGCATTTATTACGAAGCTGTCTACTATGAATCCATTTGTGACTACTGAACAAGAAAAGACAGCAATAACTGTTTCTTATCTTGCATTTCAATATTTTTCAACAAAGAAAAATTATTTGTTAAATAGGTAAAAAACGAATTAAAGCAATCTTTATCTTAAGCTCGTTTAAATTTTTTATTCGTTAACTAAAATATACTAAATACATTGCGCATTTACATAAATATGTTTTATTTTACATATTCAGTTCAGCATTAATGAAGTTTTGCGAATTTTGAAACTAAATGACATACTATGTATCAAAATGTAACATAGGTTACTAATCATTTACGTTATGAGAGATAATGATTACTATAGTTAAACAACGTAAAACGTTCATTATCAAATCAAATAAATATTTATAGTAGTCGTGTACATATAAATCTTAATAACTCTATGAATACTGCACAATCGATGTCAACAACCTCAATGAAACTGTGCTTCTGTTCCCGTATTCCGATTGCACACGTTGCGTTGAAAACTCGACTACGAATAGGTAGAATGACTCTGTGTACTCAAATCTCCTTGTCACCGTTAACATATGTGACATCGCTAATATACTCCGTCATCTTGTAACAGCTTCCGAAATGATCGAATTCCATGAGTCTAGTTTTTCTTAAGATTTCTGTTTCGATTGTTATCGCAACTAGGCGCTCAGTCGTCGAATCGAAAGTCCAATGAAAGTTCTGAATGGTCATTGGTAAATTATTCGTGCATGATTTAAAATAATTTATAGAAGCCCAGTGACAGCCTAGACTCATTTATATATGTTATCCACAGTGTATACTTAAATAGAATAATTAAAATACACCTACAGTGTTATATGGAGTGTTATATGCAGTTATATTGGAAACTAATAAATATTAATAGATAACTCTTGACTCTTATAAACACATAACGTAAACTTACTGTAGCCTGGAATCAATGTGGATCGAACCATATTAAATGTAAACGGGCAAAACGCTTTTACAATGATCGTGTCTATTCAGCGATACTCTAGATTTAGCTAAAGAAATACAGCCGAAAACTATATTCAAACGTATTAAGCTCAACTATTAAGCTTTGAGCTGCAAGAAAATGCAGTATATCGACCTCAAAAAGTATTCGTCTTTCTTCTGGACAGAATACGAGCTAATTCTCACATTAGATCTTGGTGTAACAAACCAAACTCTTCTCTTCTCACTTCATTTCTACTGTTTTTTGCAATGAATTTGAGAAATTTCCTCTTTAATTTAGCTACATTCCTGCTGTTAACTATAATTAAGCACTCAACAGCATTCTCGACCTTCAAATTGCGCAACAAAGCTATCTCACACAGGACTTTCAGTAGGTCGACGCAATACTTTTCCGCGGCGACGAGCACGTCACCAGCCACGTTCTCGATATCGTCTACTGCACCTGTGTGTGCATAAACTGAAATGATTGTTTCACCGTTGCGTGGTCGATGTCAGCGATCTCGCCGATGTGCAGTTTCTTGAAATATCGCATCGAAAACTTGACTGGGCAGCGCGAGGATGCCCTTGTGCGTTTGAATTTCCGGGTCACCGACAATGAACGTGACGTCGTCGAATTTGCCGTTGTTCAGGAGCTATTACTTAACGATCCTCTGTCGTTTACGGTCGGGAGCACAGTGATTGTATCCTGATAAGTGATATCGCACGTTATGCTCAAACAGCTGCCTACAAATATATAATTGCATAGATTTTTAATGTCATTTCTCTGTATGAATTTTACATAAGCTCCGTATCGAACGTTATAATTTGTCCCTAGTAGGGTATCTAATTGTACATCGTTTTTACATTAAACTTCGTTATCAACGTACACGATGGACAATTCAATGGTAGTAGTTAAATCAAATCGGCTGTTGTAATATATACCCAGTAGTATAAAATATTGTGTTTTGCCGTTTGAGAACAATTTCAAGCGCCTTTCAACTTTCGAATGGATATCGGTAAACAATGGAGAATAGATGTGATCTTGAGTGTTTCTTTTGATACAAAACACGATACGTTGGCAGTCATGCACTCCACAGTTTACCCATTTTTACACGGTGTCTAGATAAAGGCTTAGAGATGTATCCACTCGTAGTTACTCAACGGCTTGTTTTGCCCACTCCAATCAACCATTCAGCATGAGAGTGAGATCTTTTCAATTATATATTTAAGCAGAACATCAAACGATTCTCCGACTACTGTTATTGTAAATATCGATGAAAACAAATGATACGAATCACATTTGACAGAAACTGTGGTTTCACTATTTGTATATAAATACTGAAACAACGCAGAATGCGTAATCAGTTGAACACCTCCTAATTTATTTATTAGCTCATTCAGGAGCTGCATAGCTTATGAATATTACTCTGGTTTATAAGGTGTTTTTCACTTAGAAAATGTTGAAGAATAAAAACTGTAAAATTAATTATATATGTTTCGTTACTCTAATGAATAAACAATTGATTATGCAAAATACCAATTTTCTTTTACGAAAATTTGGCGTATTAGGTCGCAATGTTACATATATCTTTTATTTAATTCTAGAAAAAGGGATCAAAAAACAAATTATATAACGAAAAAATTAGAACCATATTTCGTATTAACATTGAAAGGATATATTGAGGAGCAATACTAACACATGATAAATTTTACTTTTTAAAATTTTAATAGTATTTAAAAAATAGTAAAAGCTATTTTAGTTACAAAAATTAAAAATATTAAGAAACGAAATACCATCCAAACTAGTGTGGTAAACTATCCACACTAATAACTGTATTAATAAATATATTAAAAAACGAATATTCAACAATTTTCATTGTATCATGCAAATAGTAAAGAAGATTATCAAGCATTTCAAAAATAATAAATAGAGATTTTTATTGTTCGGTTATTGAACATTCTATAAATAATTGATTATCTTTTAAGTAATGATTATAAAGCTAAAACACCACAAACATTTCCTTTAAAAACTTTTACAAAATTTTCAGTATTAAATTACATTGAAAAGGCCAATACATTTCTTATAAATATGACTATCTTCGATATTTTATTTCTAGTTTTAACTTGCGTAAGTTGAGAATAATTTAAATTCAATTCTAAGTTCTTGGAATCACGCAACGCATTATTTCACAAATAATTGGAGAGCTCAACAAAGGAAAGTTTGTTTTGTGAACAATGTTACTAATATTATCCACAACAAATTTCAATACGTGGTTTTTCAACTCATCTACTTTACAATGATCGGCCACCATCAAACACTCGATGGCGTTATTGACATTCAAGGTACGCACGATACAGCTTTCGCACACCGCTAGCAAGTCTACGATGCTATACATGTGTGCGGCCTTGTATAATTCACATACTATATCGTCAATTTCACGAACATAGTCCGTATACGCAAATCTCACTAACTCCAGCATTACTTGATAAGAGCAGTTAGAAACCGTTACAATGCTTGCTTTATTCTCGTGGACATCTCTCGCAAACATGTCCAAAAAAACTTGGCTACGGTGCGAGAGAATGGCTCTATGTGCTACAATTTGTTTCTCTGGTTCTATGTTGTTGTTAATAAAAAATATAACATCGTTGAAGTGGCCTTTATCAAAAATTTTCTCGAACTCGATAACATTTTTCAAGTTCGCGACCTCTCTTGAAGTTTTTTTCGCAAATAGGTGATCGTTGTAAATGACTTTAAATGATATTGACAAACAGCCGCCCCTCGTCAATATTGGTGATTCGTTTTCTGGATTTTCGATAACTTGTCTTTTAGCTGGAAAATAATCAAATGTAACAGGAGACTTCGAAAGCTTACTAGGTGATCTAGGTGATCCTTTATTTTCTGGATGATTTCTCATTGATATAACAATTTCTCTTCTCACTGTATAATTTTCCAAAATTTGTCTTTTTGCATTTTCAAAGGATATTTCTAAAATGACAGGCACGTTAGATGCTTCGGAGAAATATTCTACAGACACTGCCATATCACCTTTTCCAGATCTAACACCATTCGGATAGAAGTGTAAACACCACTCTACTTTGCAGCACGTTGCAGTAATTCTTGGACTTCGCACGCAAACATCAGCTGTTTTATTGATTTCTGTGAATTTTTTTATTTTCCATCTAAAATGCGACGAATTAGAGTTTATTCTTTCTATTACACTATCCGAAGATGGCCCGCCAATAGATATTTTGGGTGGACTCATTGTTGTTTCTTTGGAAATTCAGTTGAAATCTCAGCTTTTTAAATAGTGAACGATCAATACCTAATGAACAATCAGAAAAAAATGATTACAAAATGTTCAGTTTACGATCGTAATAACCATTGATTTTTCAGAAATTTATACGTACCGCATGCAACTGAAGCTATGACGAGACTAATTGTTTTGCGATCAAAATTACGCGTAGAATGCTGAACTAGGCACAATATTTCTCACTCACTAGCTCCCCCAAGTGTTGTATATCTGTATTCTGTCCGAACATGGCAACTCAGGATAAATATTTTGAAAATTATTTGCGAAGTTTACACTTACTCGATTATTATCATTATAGAACTCAAGCTAACAAGTTTCGCGGCTAAAATTTTACGGCATAGAGTTTTAAGATTGGCTTATTAGATTTTACTTTCGCTAGAATAAACATATAAAACTGACCATTTAAAAAAATTATGTGGAATACTAAGGTGATATAAGCATTCGTTGCTGTAGTTACAACTTGTATTACTTATATTTATATGCTCGTAATGTTCACTCTAACTTTTTTTTTTTATTTTAACCGACACAAATTGAAATCTCTCAATTATTTCGCTTTCGTTTTTTTTAAATGTTGTGCGAATTACTTCACGCACAGCTATATAGAATATAATAAAGTTAAATTCACCTCTATAAACAGCGTGATTTAATATAAATGTAAAGATTGATTTCTTTAGCTCTTTTACATCGAAGGCATCTACTGTTACAAAGCATTCCAAAAATACTAGACTTTTACTATTTTGATATAGCTGCAAACAACAACTGACTATGACGTCTAAGGAAATTAATGATGGATTCAGCCTGTTCACGCAAGCTAAGTTTTTTACAGTCTTGACATTTTTAATTTTCTATCTGTAGCACAACATACAAATATCGAGAAATTGAGTTTTAAATGAACTAGGCAATTACACAGTTTACAAATCGCATCAAAATAAAGTATAGCACAAGATTTGACAAAATACAACGAATGCGATCATTTAAAAGTTACTACTGTTTAATATTCACTGTTTTTGAGCCATAACGCGAACTACTTCGCGCATCAGGTCAGGACGTAAAGTCGAGAATTCATCGCGTTTGACAATCTCATTAGCGTGATCCGCAAAAAACTCGAGGGCTCGTGCTTTCAACAATTTCGCTTCTCGAATATCAGCAATTTCAATAAGCTGAACTACGTTATCAACCTCCAAACTTTCGTACAAAGTTTTTTCACAAAAAGTCTTCAATCCTTCGACGCAATATTCGTCCGCTGCTGCTAATAAATCGTCGGCCATGCTGCAAACGTCATTCACTTTGCCCGTGTACAAAAATCGAAAAAGTTCTTTCAGCACTCGATGGTCGAGGTCAACAATCTCTATGATGGTTTCCCGCTCTTTCGCATTAGAATCGAACATATTTCTGAACACTACGTTGCGAGCCGCCAGAACAGCTTTGTGCGCATGGATTTTTTTATCTCCAACAAGAAATGTAACGTCGCTGAATCGCTCGTCCCCCAGCAAATTTTCGAAATCGTCAAATTCCTTGAGCCTATCGTCTCTAAAATTGTCTTCGCCGTTTGCGCTTGGATTCAGTATGGCTGGATTTTGCAAAATGACCTCGAACGATATTGTTAAACAATCGTCGGATAACACGTTATTACTCGAGTCTGCAACGAAGCTCCTCTCTGCGAAATTCGGATGAAATCTGTAAGGAATCCATGCCTCCGACTGAGACTCAAAATCGGTTATTAGTTTTAGTTTCTTTCTTATCGTGAAATTTTCCAACGCTTCGTTCTCGGCATTCACAATAGATATTACGTACAATGCGTTTGTCTCGATCTCACTGCAATAATACACGGATACGGATATATATTCACTGTATTCGTCTGTTTTACCATTAGGATACAATTTCAAATGCCACTTGACGCTAGAATCAGCTGTCGTAATCACAGGCGATAACAGAGACGATCCTACTTCGTCTCTGATATTGCTGAAATCTTTGATTTTCCATCTGTAAGACGATGTCAAGGTCACATTCACTCGATCCACTGTGCCAATGTCTGCGTGGTAACTCATTTTAACATCTCGCTAAGACGATCGATTTTTAATTGTCGACTGGCATTTCATCGGTCGAACGAGGACTCAATGTAAATAGTGCCTTGCTTAACCAAGTTGTGCGATTGACCATGTCAATTGTGCTCTTTCGTACAAATTCATGCAGCTGAAGATGGGCATTAGTCGAATATCGATATTAATCCAACAGAAATTCATTATTTTCAAAAAGATCCTATCTGTCGCCTATCCACAAATGCTCAAGTTTGTGAGATTTATGTACGTACACGGACTACGTGCGTGAAATTAACGATGTAGCGTAAAAGATCTGCTTGTAATAATAATGGTATGCGAAAACTGTATGCTACGTAACTTGACAGTCGAAAACGCTATCGAATGTTTGAACGAGGCCGATTAATGTGAAAACAATACTCGCAGGATTTGCTTGATTTTATTAAACGCTTCATTAAATGCAATACAATACTGTATACTTAGTTACATTTTATCGATGCTTATCGTTTCATTCAATTTTAAGTATTATAAAAATTGTGCTTATGGGCATATTAATAGCCCGGTACACATATCTAATTAAGTAAGAATTATCAAAACGTATTATTACGTGCGTTTCACACTTAGGTTGCAGCAGCGCAAAGGTAGTCGCTATGCAATAACCCATTTTCAAACTATAATCCTACCTATTTCAGTGAGTCACCTATCGTTCGAAATTGGCAATATGACACCCGAGTCGTTAGCCACAAAGTCCAAAAGGAGGAATTGGCTCGGGACGATTGCGTAAAAAGGCTCTCAAGAGCCATCAGCCTCCGAAGGAAAACGCGCGCGCGGTGGCTTTAGCTGTGCGCGGGGGAAGCACGCGAATAATGAACACTCATGAAATATGAATGGGCGAAAGTATTTGGTGAGGCTGAAACGTTTTTCGAGCGACGCGTATCGGACAATTCGCGCACGAAGGCGCGTAATCCATCCGTCTGACGCTCGTCGGACTCTGACCGTGCGTTTGGCGTTGCGCGCTCACGAGAACGCGTGACTCGATGCGAAAACTCTATTTGTACCCACATTACCGATGCTCATGCTCGTCGTGGCAATTTCAATTGCGAGACCATTTTTTTTTCCACGTAAACAAAGCGTTTCCACACTTTTACCTTCCGCGCGGGATTTCTCGGTCTTTCTTCTTTCTTGTTTATTTTTCCGTTCTAATTTTCGCAATTTATTTTTTAACGTTACGAACATTCGCATATCGATCGTTTCGATCTCCAACTAGCTTCTACACGCGTCTCAAAGCATTTTTACGATAAATTTATTTTCCGTCGGTACAATGAATCATAATGACACGCTTTTAAATATATTTTACTTTTGCCCATTGCACACAATATATCGATTACTTTTGAAATTAGATTACTATAACTGCGAGAATAAATCATCAAAGGTATACACGTATGGAGAAGCCACAAACCTTATTTGCGAAGAAAAAGCACGTCTCTTATATCAACTTTTCAAAATTGCGTAACTCGAATAATGCAGGGGGTGGGTGATTGACACTGTAAAAATAATTAATTGAGTACTAAAATAAGTGGTACGAAAAATACGAAACTACGAGTGATAAAGTCAAACGCCCATTGAACAAAGCAATTACTAACGTATTACAGTTGAGCTATTTCGGCAACTGGTGTCCAAAGCCGGAAAAGCCAATCATACCGTGTCAACGTCAACTGTTGGGCCGCGGACCAATACAGGACGACACAACACAGAAATGCGACTTTACATGGAAATGCGGAGGACCTGAGTCGCCCATACGTCCCGAGGGCAATCTCGTACTCTCCCCGGCACCACTCGAGAGTAAGTTGCGCCGAGTCGTACACAATTGACGATTTTTTTTAACTTCCTCGTAAATAGATATGAGCTTCATTTCTATCGGCGTCAATTATCTAACGAATTGAAAATTTCGAGATAGAAAAGAGTTCTGTCTGAGGATTCTTCGCGCGTCGTCGTAATTATAACCGAAATATTCTCGGACACGAGCTTCGAGGCTTCCGTTGCGACGTGGCCCGGTGTCAAGTTGAGGATTCGCGAAAAGCCAGCCTCATTATCCGCTGTGCATCAGATTAATCCGAAGACGAGAGTCCTCGTTGCGCGAGAGATAAGGCCCGAGCGCAAGAAAAGCGCGCGCGCAATATCTCGTTTGACAAAAGGCCGCTTGCGCAAGTGGCGCGCTTGCAACACGGAATTCCGTTCGCGCGCGCTAGGCGAGGCGTCCGAAGCCGCAGCCCCGTTCGCGGCGGCATCTTCACGGCCGCGCGCACAATTCTTTTTCTTCTCTCGCTCTTTTCTTCTTCCAGGCTGCACTACCAACCGCCTCTCCTACCTGCCCAATTGCGGAGAGTGCGTCTTGCAGAACAAGTCGTACAGGCCGGTTCGAGTTTACATGCCGTCGCCCGAACCGATGGATTTGGATACGACCACGCAGCTTAGCTATCAGCCCAAAGAGATCGGCCCGATCCAGAAGAGGAAGAGGCCCGACTATCACAAGCCCACCACGAGCTTGGACGACAATACTACTTATGGTTTAAGGTGGATCTCCCTAATAAACAAGTATGGCTTTCGCTTGTGGACAATGTGGATGTTTTTTTCAGCTTCATACCCCCCGGAAAATTGATCCCCTGTTGTCCGGAGGAACAGTGCAACGTGAAAGATCCCTGTTGTCCGGTATCAACTTCCAAACCTTGTTCTAGTAAGTCATTTGACAAACTTACGCATGTGATATTAATTTTTTTTCTTAAATTATTGTTATCTTTACCACCCATTGAAGTTGGTCCACGCACTTTAACGATAAATTGGACAATTAATTAATGGAATATTCATGCTTCCAGTGTTATCAAATCCGGTAGTTTTATCAATTATCTATATGTTTTAGCGTCCGTCTATCCTCAAGCTTCCGCACCAGACACAAGGCCATGCATCTGTAAGTGAAGTCAACTCACCAATGCCAGTCAAGCGCATGCAACACAGCTAACATTACAATTATTTTTCAGCTTGCTAGATCGACAGCCAGCGATAAATCAGAGCGAAGCGCATACATATAACTTTTTTTCTATGAAAAATCAATCTAAGTGTACGACAAATGACTGTGCCCGTCCCACTTGTATTGTACATCGTCCGCCTGTCTCAATAAAGCGCCATGAAAATTTCAACTATATTCGAAGCTCCGTACTCGACGTTATATGATACGCAAGGAACGCACATTTACAATCGAACTTCGTTTGCAGGTAAGGTTCGATTGGCTTTTAATTTCGGGCCAAAAAGAAGTTGCCCAAGTATTCCTCGTCGTCGTTACCACACGACTAATAGTGACGCGATGCTGGCACGCAGTAAAATCATATCATCACGATTTACGTTAATTTGGCGCCGCCGCCACCGCAGCCAGCGCCTCCAAGGCGTGAAAGTCCTCTCTCCTCGACATTATGAAACTTGACGTAATTAAACACGCGAGGAACTCTGCAGGTATAGAATTGCCCGGTGACCTCTTCGATTTTCACAATTGCCATCCGCGTTCAGTTTCTCGTGTTTTTGTTGCGAAAAGCCAAAAAAAAAGTGGAGCAGACGAGAAAAGTTATTTGTTTTCATTGTCTTTGGCCATTTACTTCATTTGATACCAAAGCGGTGCGTTTTATTAGCCGTAAAGATGAAAACTATGAATGAATAATACATAAAGCTCGCTGCGGGGCAAAACAATGCGACGACAATATTACGCAGTTATAATAGTTCGCTGATGACACTCTTTCGCAATGACGATCCTGAAAAAGAAAACCAACAATCGCCGTTTTAGCATACACGCGAGTTTGATGATTTTTTTCTCTTGTTTTGCGGGCGTGCGCTCGAAACCGTCAATTTTCGCCCGCAGCTTTGATCAACGATTCAGCCGAGAGACAAAAAAAAAGGAAAAAAAAAATGCAATCAATGGTTGCCTAATCGCGCGCGTATAATGAATTGCGAATCCCTTCGGCGAGCCTGGTGGTATAATGTTTTGTCGTGCCCGAAACTGACGTATCCAGTTCGGATTTCATTGAAGCGGCGCGATGTTGAAATATCTTTCGGGGTCGCTCGTTTTCACTCCGCTTGAAAGTTCTCTCTCGCACTCATCTTCTAACGAATCACTTTCTTCCGGAGGAGGACGCGAGTCCACGATTATGACGTACACGAGCGCGCGCTTTTACGTTCAGGCAAATAGAAACGAGAGACCTTATTTCACTCGCCGCAGAAGGCTTTTTCCTGTCTCGTATGGTGTTACGAAAAGCCACGGTCGAGCTTCGGAAGTTGCATCGCAGCTGCGGCGAGAAACCGATTTTTCATTGTGCGTCGCGCGGGCATGGGGAAACTTTACGGTGAATCTCGTTGCGAGAATGCTCGTTCGTTGACTCTTCGCAGAATCGGTCGTCCCCGGTAAAGGCCAATCGATATCCGAAACGTAGGTACGCGAAAAGATTTGTCGTCTTCGTCGGACATCTTCCAATCCGTTAATTTAGAAATCGATGCCGCGACGTTAATTGGTTTAGAGTTTCGTTTTACAACTCGAATCGTCTTTCGCAAAACTTCGAAGCGAATTGCGAGATTGAATTCAAAATTAGGATGCCTCGTATCGTCCGGCAGGTTTATTGTTGCCTAATTGCAAATGTGCATACGGAGCTAGTCTGGAATAAAATGAAACCCGTGCGGATTTTCATAATTTTCCGATGAATTTTGGTAATTCGTTTGCTCAATAAATCCAGCTTATGCTTTCGTAGTCGGTACAGGGATCGTCTGCAAATTCCTCCAAATTGATCCGAGGGAACCAGATGATCGTGGAATCGGGGCATAAAAATCAAGACAGTGTGTGAGAGAGAGGGACACGGAGAGAAAAGTCTCGGTCGGTCGTAACCATGTTTAGCCTTCGCAGGACGATAGAGATGATCCCACGCTCCGCAAAGGCGCGCCTGAAGATTCGCATACACGCGCGCTCGCATCGTCGTCGGCGTTCGCAACGAAAGCGAGTCCGAGAGCGGGAGAGTGTAGAAACGATTCGGTTGGGGGGCAAACAGTGAGAGTCGGTATATAAAGGGAATCCTCTCCTCTCCTCCATGATAGAAAACACGGCAGCAGCGGCCGCATCATCATCCTACGAAACGACTCATTTTGTGCGCGAGCGAAGCAGTCGGTGCCAAAGTTGTATTATTACATTCGAAGGAAACGCGGAATCTACACCACCGTCATGCTCAGGACTGCGGTGAGTAGCTTCTCTCCTCGCCGTCGTGCTGTGCGGTTTGAAAATCCTCGCGCGTCTTCGTCCGGCTGTTATGGAGGTTCTGCGGCTTTTTTGATTTTCCGCAGTGGGAACGCAGTTTTTTCTTTCTCTTGTTTTGCGCGACGACAACTGTGCACTGTTTTATTATACGCTCGAGCGTACGATAACGTACAGTAACGAAGCCTAAGATTTGATTCGCGCCGTATTACTGTGCAGTCAAATCGTGCACGTTTGTCCGCACGCCGAACAGAAGAGTCGTAAAAGAAACGAGGAAGAAACGGTTTGTCGGGCACGATTTGCTTTTAGCTAGCTGCGATCGCGTCTTCTCTCTTATTCCGCATTACGAAGCTCTGAGATAGGACATTGTGAAAGTGACCGACGCGTGTGTGCTTGAAAAACGAAAGAATCGAGCAGACCGCGATTTCCGTTGGCATCGAGACGACAGTCTTCAAAGCCTGCGCGCAAGATCAATCGCGGCACTACGGAAGCTTGCTAATTTTCAACGGGCGGGTCAAACGAACCGATCGGCCGCCGGCGATAAGCAAAAAGTCAGGGGAGGCACGGAAGTCGCTAACGGGCGGGTCTCTCGAGGAGAGGATGGGTTAGCGGGTCAGGAGTTAAACGACCCGCGCCGGCATTTGCTTTTCACTTTCACCGCTGAACAAAGTTAGCCTCCTTCGATATACATATATGAAGGAGAGAAACGGACCAAGCGCTCCAAAGACGAGTGCTTTTCTCTCTCTCTCTCTCTCTCTCTCTCTCTCTCTCTCTCTCTCTCTTGCTCGAGCGAGAGAGAGAGAGAGGATGGCGTAAGCTTTCGAAGTCATTCAGGTGTTTACGATCGGTTACTATCAATTAACGCCTGCCAGCGCGTGCTGCCGTTGAAACTTCAAATGCGTCGGGGAATTGCAACATCGGCTTTTTCCGCTGCCGCATGGAATCTGAGAGATGTTCCAGATGCTCGCGAGTCGTTAAGTTTTTGTAAGATTTCGAATGCAGTATTATGCGAGAGTAATGGGAGTTTCTTAATTGTCGGGTCGTTAAAAAGATGCCACGCGAATGTGCGAGTCGTAGAGGTCTGTTTGAAGAGGCTTATTAAAGCTTTAAGGATTCTTTAGATGATAAGACGATGCACGTTGCAGATTGAGTCATTGGAAAAACTTACGAAATATCTCGTGAAAAGTCCGCATAAAATTAAAGGGTCATTCTCTAATCACTTACTTTGGTGGAATTCGCGTCGTTATTTCTTTAACAACGACCGAGTCATCGGGTATTATCTTGCCGTCGAGGCAAAGAAAAGAAAGCTCGGAAAGTAAAAGCGACCGACGAAAGCTAAAAAAAGCTAAACAGTGTTCGCCTGGAGGGCATCGACGTAACATCGACGCAGCCGCCCGCGCAGCACGAGGATCGCCCAGGGCGTAGCGGAAGACGAAGCGAGACGACGATGATCGATTTCCGACTGGTAGCGCGTAGAAAGTTTCAGCGGGATTCGAAAGCCACGTGTGCTGAAAGTGAAATTTCGCGCGGGGATGCGGCTGCCGATGCCCGGGCCCGATCTGACTTTCTTCTTTCGGGATCTCCGCGTTTGCGTGCGGGTGTCGCTTGTGAATCGTAGTGATGCCGCTTATCGACAATCACGGTGGTTGAATGCGCGGGCTCTATATTCCAGGCAGAGGTCGAATCGCGGTTACGCGTGTTATTAATTGTCTTTGCGCGCTGAAACGCGAATCGCGTGGAACTCTGGTCTCTTGGAAAATTACTTGGCAATTCACGAGCCCCCTGCAGATTTTCTATTAACCGATCTGGTGCGATTCTCCGAAAGTTCACAAATAAAAATAGAATTATTAATCTCTACGCTGTATGTTGAAAATGTTGGAGTTTCAGTTATTCAACCGGTTTCGTTGCGTAACTCAGCGCCATCTCTTTTTCATTTTAACACCAAAAACACTGGCGAACTTCCAGCACACTCGAGCCGATAACTCTTCCGATAACAAACATAAAGTATCTGGTGCATAAAATTGACATGAAAAATGTTCCTTTCTACCATCAAACAGATATTGGCTGTGATGCTCGGTTTGGCAGTAGCCCAAGACGTTCACCGCGGCCGACCGTTCCAAAATCCAAACCAGGCTTATCACCAGCAGCAACAAGCTGCGTCGCGCAACGTTGACAATGGACAGTATCAAGAGCAACGTCAATACCAACCAGAACCATCAGGGCAGAGTTTCTCCGAAAGAAAAACAACCACCACGCCCATCCCTATCATCCAGTGGAACAAGCAGCAAGAACACGACGGCACTTACCACACCAAGTAAATTTGAATTTGAAACGTTACATATATCGCTTACGTCACAAAGCGAGCTACAAGCTCCTCGTGGGAGTCCCGTCGAACTTTAATGAAAATCTCCTCGTAATGGCGAGACGGAGAAAATTTTCTCATGCGTAATTTTCGCGCGCGGGCAAAAATAATCGATGTATGCGCCTGGCAATTACGCGCCTATAAAAATTTCTGCCAATTGAAAAAGCACGCGTGCTCTTACATAAAAGCTCGGGGCCTAATCCCCCTCGACTCTGCGGATTTTCGCAACGTTGCCGCACGTACATATCCAAACGCATCGCGTTTGTAATCTTCTTTCAAGAGAGAAAGAGAGAGAGAGAGAGAGAGGTAAAAAAAAACGTTCAAGGATCGTCCAAACATGATCGACCGCAATTACGGAATACTTCTTACTTCTTTTTTTTTATTATGGTCTTCGTTCGAAATATGCGATCGTGTTTGCGCGTTACTTATCTGTTAAGGCCGCTCGACAGCCGTTGAGAAACATTTTATACGTTGGTACCGTGTAATCTCCGAGGAAAACATAAATCTGGATAAAATATTAATTTTATTAATTTTACTTCGTATGAGATTTTTAGTTACTCAATTATTGATTTCAATATCAGGTTTTTTTTCATAACGGTGTAAAATTATTAAGCAAACTTGATAAGTTGGTCGCATATTTAATTACAAAATTATAATGATCGTATTTACTTTCAAATAACACGGTTACGTTGATAATAAAATTTCGCGAATGAAAATAAGCATGATTAAAATACAGCCCGACGGTACTCGAAAAAGTAATTACGATCCTTTATGGATAAAAATAACCGAGCGAACAGTGTAAAATCTCATCGAGTGCAAACGGCTAGCCACCGGAATTTAACAAGCGCACACGCTGGAAATAGATATCCCCGCATTTTATTAACGATCTTTTTTCGAATTCCAACAGTTATGAAACTGGCAACAACATAATCGCCGAGGAGAGCGGCTACATCAAGACGGTCGGCCAAGGCGAGGAGCAAGCCGAAGCACTGGTGCAACAGGGCAGCTACTCGTACACGAGTCCCGAAGGCCAACTCATCACCATCCACTACACCGCTGACGAGACTGGCTTCCACGCGTCTGGCGATCACATTCCAACTCCACCACCTGTCAGCGAGGAGATCCAGAAGGGACTCGATCTCATCTACGCGGGCATTCGACAACAACAGGTCAGCAACCAACACGCTCTTTCGAGAGAGAGAGAGAGAGAGAGAGAGAGAGAGAGAGAGAGAGAGAGAGACTATTTTGCATGCTGATTGGCCAATCGAGAGATCGGCCGAGATACTATTTGTTTATGGCGCGTTTCCTTGAGCAAACTTACGCGGACGCTGTTAATTTTGCGGTGCACTTGGTTATAAATTTACTGAAAATTAATTCGTGAAATAATGCATTTCACAGGAAGCCGCTGCACGGGAGGCTCAACAGAAGGGTAACCAGCCACTGAACCAGCAGGTCGTCAGGCGAGACGATCACACTGGTCAGTACAGACCATAAATTAGTCAGCCATCGACGTTGTTCTCTCAAATCATCATTTTTTCGTTCATCGGATTTCTTTAGCCCTTAGATCATCGACTAGCAATGTGCTTATGATCGATCATGTACTTGCGAACTCGTAACGATATTCGCTGCAATACGTTCATCGCTCTGTAATACTTATTATTACATCCGTGTAATATTATATGTACCACGCGTAGTAATTATTTGAGCTATAATTTTTTGTATTGTACTGTTTTGTGATTAAAGTAAGACTCCAAACTTTTTCATAATTCGATGTCGCCTCGTTACTTAACCTCGATCATAACAATGTCGGAAAACGTCTCTTTTGAAGAAAGATATTGATCTATAGAAATTAGAATAACATAAAATTTGACTTTGAATATTGATTAAGAGGTAAGAAATTGTTCGTAGTTTTATTATTCTGAAATACACAGAGTTCATATTTACAAGTTGGGACGCCAAGTAGTACAGTCGCGTGACCAGAATGCATTTGTAGTCAAAAGAAACCGTTAGTTCACCATAAGTACCATTTACAGTTCCGGAATAGTGAGGCGGGCAGATATGATAAGCAGTCCCCAAATTTCGGTAATAAAAAAGCGAAATCCAACAAAACGCAAATGCACTTTGATCGTCAAGACTGTGACAAACGTTTCCCGTTGCTTAAAGTACTAGGAAGGAGAGTACATTCAGAAGAAAACGCGCGTTTGTCGTATTCTTTTTTTATCTTATAGTGAGTAAGTCGACGCTGCGTTAATTAAACTAAGCACTACAAACTAGCAATAATCGGCGAGCACTTTATTTTTACTTCAAAAGGCTCGCTCGAAAGAGGCAATGCGCATTTTTTATGGCTCGTTCATTCGGCTTTTCCCCGCGAATCGTTCCATCGAGAGCTCGCCTGTCTCGTCCCCACGGTGTGAAAATTCAACTACTGAGGAGTGCACGATAGATGCGTCTGCATTGCAAAAGGCGGTTACACTCTCTCGAAGATATTAAAATCCATTTTCTTTTATTCACCTCGAAGCGTAACTGGCTTGGTCTGCGCGAGTCCACATGGAAAAGAATTAACGGCCATGCAGTTTGAGTAAACCAGCTTTGCTTATATGCCGCCCGCCGAGTAAAAACACTTCACGCCACTTGCACTCGCGGTCCGCTACATTAAGTTTCATCAGGCTGAGGCCGTTGTTCTCTCTCTTCTTGTTTTTTCTCCCAGTCTATTTTCACTTTGTAGCTTTTTCGTCGTTAATAACATAGGCTAGGTAATTTTGATTAACATTCAAAGTTTCCGATGCTGTTATGGATAAACTCTCACTTATTGCTTGCGAAAAAACGTAATTGGTTCGACGCTCAAATAATTTATATAGTTTTCACGTGGTGTACATATAGAATGCATTGTTATTTCGTAAATAACGTGTATTCTGCCATCTGTTGAAAATCAACAATCAGACGTAAATGATCTATTTTCCTTTCGATTCAAATATGAAAAATTGTACACGTATACCTTAGTTCGACTAACGTTTGATAAAAAAAACACCGAATTCCATTTGCTAAGAGTACATGTTCTTTTGATTCGCAGTTTTTGACTAATTAAAAAGAAGACGGAAATACATTTACAAAGCTTTTCCTTCGAGAATAACAATAAGCGCGATAGTCATTCTAAGTCGACGGCGCAATGCGTCGCAATCCGATATTAGCATATTGCAACAGATGGGAGATTACTCCAACAAGATACACACTTGCAAACTCAGGCACACGCATCATCCATTCGCAGCGAAATAAAAAAGGTAAAAAAGAGAACACGAAGGAGCCATTATTGTACTTATGTAATCCCCGAATTTGGCACTCTTACGGAACGGATCCGATGCGCGACGCACATTATGTGGTTGAGTCGCGATTAAAAAAGAAAGTTAAGTAAAAGAGACGGTGAGTGCGTGCGCGTCCGCGAGAAAAGAGAGAAGCTGACGTATGCGTTTGTGATGAGCCCACACGGACTTCCCACGCTCGTATGCCCCGGCAGCTTCTGTTATACGTGTTTGGCCGAACGAATGACGGCTTATACAGCGATACCAATGTCAAAAATGTCACGATGGTGACTTTGGTGTTTAATCGTTGACGTCAAGGATCAGAAGTGTTTGAAGAGCTTTTAGAAGTATACTGATTTTGGATTTCAAGGAAAAATTTCACACTGTTGTTTTACTGGATCAAAGTGATGGTATATATTGATTCTGACCATTTTTTTGACTTGCGAACGGATGTATAGTTTTTTTTCGGTTATCTTTTATTTAACGAGGCTTCACTTAGACTGAATAAAAACGGTTTTCAAATAGACAATAAATTTTGAAACTTAAATTTTGTAAATATGTATAACTTTTTCATCTGCAATTAAGGCTCAAGTTATATAAATGGAAATTGTCTATACGTATCCATGTGAGAAAAGATGCAAATCTCATTGCCACAGTTATTAAAAGACGGAAGAAGATAATACATCAGATTCGGTAAGAATTATTTAAATTCTAAAGATGACAAATGTACAAAAGTTTAACATTTTCTGCTCGTTGTACAGGTCAAAAAGATGATCAATAATTTCTAGACATAATATTTTCAACAGTCAACCAAAAATTTGTCAACACTTGCAATGAAGTTTTGACTGGGAATCCGGCCTTCCAAGAAATGCGATAGAAATTCCACAGTCTAGCTCGCTTCTGAACCTCCACATCATCCATTGTCTTCCGCCTGATAATGGGAAAGTACCGAATCCACCGAACCAAATCCGCTGAACCGAAAGAAAAAAAGGAATCCTTCGTCTTGTCAATAGTCGGTATCGACCGATAAGGCAAAGTAGACGCCATGCGCGAAGAAATTTACGGTCGGCGAGGTGAAAACGAGTCCGCTCTCATTGTTCTGCCTATGCAGAAACAACCGTCGCGCGCGCGCGCCTAAAATAAATAGGAGAAACTCGTTGCTCGGGAGTTGAACAACTCCGACGCGTGCACGCGCGCACATCGGTGTATACAATTAATGACTATGTTTATCCGGGGCATAAGAGAAGAAAAACAATAACTACGGCATGGCAAGTGATTCGTCTCAGTGCATGGCGTGCTCCTGAGCCACGGGTACCGGGTCGTAAGGGCTGGCCTCGTGCCCGACGTATCGATTGTTCTTGCGATGAACGAACCCGTTCGCGCCGTCGGCCTTGTAGTAGACCACTCGGCGGATGCCGAACGGGTCGACGTAGCCAAACGAGCCGACAGCCTTGTCGGGTCGCGCGCGCTCCTCTTCGTGATACTGCTTTTTCAGGTAGTACTGGAATCCGTTGTCGCCGGTCCGGGACGTGCCGTCGTACGACGGGAACTTGTACTCCTTGTAACCGCTCGACGCAGAGGCGGTGCGCTGCTGCTGCGAGGAGCGCCGCCGGGCGACGACGCGCACTGTGCTCGACGACGGACTCGTCGTACTGCTTGTTGTGCCGTTCCAGCGCCTGTAGCCCCTGTGTATCGGTTAAGTTGAAGGTATTAAGTGGAAAATTAACGAATATCGTATATCTGCAGGAATTTCTGAGTCAACATTAACAGTACTGGAAATGTATCTTTCAAATTTACAAAAGAATTCGTCGAAAGAAACAAGAAAGTTAAAATCAGCAAATTATGAAAAAGCACTCGATTACGTTTGCTGTGATACTTCATTCGTGCATTATAGCCTACTGCGTTGCGCGCCGCGGAATATCTGTCAGAACGTGGGCACGACACGAGCGATTGAAGTGTTTGGAGAAGGCGATCAACTGTTCAATGTATTGCGCGGATTGCTCAAGCCGAGCGTCAATTGTCGCGTTCCGCTGTAAATCATGGTCGCTCGGCGAATTCTCAACTCAATTCGTTACAGATTCACAACTACACGAATCCATTATAATCGTCCGCCCACGTGACGCAGAATCGACAGCCGAAGCAAAGTGACATCGACAAGTTCGTTCACCTCTGTCTCTCTTCTCTCTCTGTTGCTATGCAAATCGCTCGGGACAGAGAGACAATGTGAGCATTATCCGTTCCTACGCGAACGCACATTCCAGCCGCGTATTTGTTCGCGCGTAACTCACCTGAATACCGTTCGTGGGGTGACTCGAACGCTCGTACTATGACTGCCCAAATGATTTTGATCCTGCTCGAGGTATGGCGGCTCCACCAGCAAGGCAGGTTTTCGATAAGACTTGTAATTGATCGACGGGAGGTAGTTGCCGTTTGGTTGTTCGTATTTATATCCATCGCCCGAAGGCGATGAAGTCGTGAGGGAGAAGGGTCTTGGTCGCAAAGTCGTCACCGCGATCGGCCGTAACCTGCGGAGCAGAAGATCATACTTTTTTATCCAGCGCTTGCGAAAGTTTGAGTGTGAAAGAGGTCATCGCTGTGTGGGATGTCTGAGTGAACGATCGCTGATTGGCCGGACTGATAAACGGAGTATTCTAATATCAAAATGAGAGATCGCTGTTTTTCATTTGTCTGAATTATTATTGCTATGCAGGTGCTGGTGTAATGCAAATGAAAATCCTGAATGAAAAATTTTTCGATTGTCCTCTTTCCGCGAGCGACAGTCGTGGCATTTTCAATCGTGATGTGTTTGATTTCTTCACGTAACGTGATATTCAACGTAGCAACCGACTTAACAAAATATCTAAATAGAATAAAAAAGCAACATCTATACCGTCGCCTCAAAAACAAGCCAGAGGAAATAAAAAATAGCCACGCGTAACAAGTAATAAACATCAAGATTTAATCGGCCATGAGTCAGTCACCGATGAGAAGCAAAGGAAATAAACGAAACGTGTTTTATACCCAATACAGGAAGAAGACGAGGGCGGTAAAGGCGTGGACGAGACGTAGCTCCTGTGCCGCGACGACGTCACGCTATTGGCTTCGATGCTGTTACTCGACACGTCCTTCAGCTCCGGCTGCCTGCAAAGCGCCAAGAAACAAGACGTGCTTTTTAAATAACGGTAATTGAAAAAAGAAAAAAATGAATTGCCGAGCGCGGGCGTGAAAAACTCTGCGTCATACCTGAAGGGATTCGGTGGCCTGACGGGTCGCGCCAACGCTCCGCCGGACGCTGGTGCGCTCTTCGATATCGAGACCGCGTCGGAGATCGGCCGATCTTTGCCCACGAATATCATTTTGGATCTGCGAACGAGGTTTCGAGGTTTAGGATCGGCTGTGATTTATCGATATTACGCTTTGCGCGCTGCTCGCGACCTTGATTGTTGCGCCCGATTAACGGACTCGTAAAAGGTTAATGCGTGTGAAATCGAAAGCGCTATCGCGGTAGAGAAATTCAACTCGACGTTTACAAGTAAAGCAGCGCGCGGCGAAGCGAGCGTAAGAGCACTGTGGCGCAGAGACGAACTTGAGTATGCGAAAGCCCTTGGCGTCGGCGATGTAGTCCTTGATCCTGAGGTAACCGAGCGGATCGAGCCAGCCCTCGGTGCCGATGACAGTGCCATCCTCGAGTCGCTTCTCCTTCCTGTACTGGCCGTTCAGAGTCTGGAAGCGAAAGTATCTCTCGGGCCCCTCGTCCGTCTGCACGTGGTACTGCGTCTCCGGATTGACGTTCCAGCCGCTCCTCTCGGCCTCGATCTCGTCTGCCGTCAGGCTAACCACCGACACCTATACAACACACCATCAATTATGCACCTTTATCGTTTTGCTGCAGCACTCGCGACGGCGACGTTTTAATGTGCGCCCGCAGTGTGAAGCCACGGTCTCTCTCTCTCTCTCTCTTTCTCTCTGACGTTGCGGCTAATTGACTCTCTCGTTGTGGGAATCTTTGGTTATCGTGCCAGTGACTTTAGCTGTTTTCGCTCCGTGCTCATGAGATTTTGGACAAATCGTAATAGGAAGGGGGGGGGGGGGGTGATGAGGTTGCAAAGAGAGAATAGTCCGTAATATTTGGTTGTTCATGCTGCTGCTAGCAAAATTCCGATTTTTACAGTGGATCTATTTTATATGTCAAAAAAAATAGATTTCAGATGTTTTCAGATAAAAAGACAATAAACGTAGGTCTAGTTCTATTCGTAATATGCAGCGCATCAAAATCGTTGGATTAACAGTGTTTTTTTTAACCGGCAAAAATGTCTGCATTCACTTTTTACGCTAGGGACTCTTCGATAAAAGACTGCTGAAAATTTTTTCCGTGCACAATGTCCCAGAATGAGTGAATTATTTTGATTTCGATGGAATCGATTGCTCGCATGAATTTTAATGCGAGAATTATGACTTTTACGTCTGGACAAAGGCTGTTCCAGCTATCGGCAACGCGAGTACGTCAAATATCGCAACTCGTTTGCCGTTGCATCTTAAATCAATCGTGCAAGCGAAAAGAAGATATACAAAACTGCATTCCCGACTGACGCGTCAATTTGCAACGACCCTTTGCCACTCGACAACGTAAAGAAAAAAAATATATCCCATTTGCAAGTCTCGTTCGAAAATGGCAGTGTTCGGTCGATTTCGTTTGTTTCGCCATAAATCAAAGCATCGCAGCAGCGGAACAATGAACCGAAAGGCCGTGAACGAGAGAGAGAGAGAGAGAGAGAGAGAGAGAGAGAGAGAGAGAGAGAGAGAGAGAGAGAGAGGGAGAGAGAGAGAGAGAGAAGACAAACCGTGAATTTCCTGCCTGGCAAAAGATCCGCCTAATGAACGCTAATGTCCGAGCGGAGGGCTTTCGCAAGGATTTCGCGTGCGTGGCGAATGATGAATCGGTTCGAATAAGGAAACCGGCAGCGTGTTATGTAAAGCTATATATGGCGCCCGTGCGTTGGAATTAGAGCTCCTAAACAGGTTATTAAGCCACTCGCGTGGGATAACAAGGAACGCCGCACTGATTTTTTCCCTTTTCGTTTCCGAACTCTCCGCAATGCAATTATGTAAAACAATGCCAAAACGTTACGACACACTTTCGCTTCCTTATTCGGTGCACTCCCGTTGTCGTCGTCGCCGCCGCGACTTTCGGTTAATTAGTCGGAGCTCGAATGTCACGTCCGATTGGCATTGTTTGTTTCCGCTTGGCGACGACTATGCGGCATTGCCTACTCCTTTAGTTGTCGAAGCTTATTAGCGGAAGAGATTTCACGGGCGCAACATGGATTCGAAATGCAAAATTGAAACAAGATAATTGTTGCTTGTTTTTGAAGATCAGCTTGGTAAATTTTATTGACAAGCGCGCAAGACCGCCGCTCGAGGCAACGATGCCATTCAAAAAATTAATGCCCCCATTTGCGCGCAACCGCAAAAGCGCAATCTGGCTTATGATGGTTGTCGAAGCGGCTGAGCTTACGCAACGATTTTTCAGGAAATATCTACTCGCCCCGAAATGAGAACTGGTAGGAATGTCTTGTTGTACGACTTCATTACTGCTTCTGCCTTTATTTTTGTATCATTTTCGGCAGAAATTCATTTTGAGCGCAAATTACTTTGATTACGCAGGCCGCCTTAGCCAATTATAAGCCAATTTAAGTAATCGCATGAACTTGGTGGGAATTAGAAACTTTTTTGTTTTTGCATATGTATCACGCGTCGCTTGAATTTTTACTCGACTTTTTTTTCATAATGGTATGATATCTTTTATATTTATACATTTTATTCGTATACATACTTTCAATTCTTGGTACATTCAAACTTATTTCTATAATGCTTTCATGGTGATAATTTTGTTTATCAATGTAAAATTTTGTTATCAAGATGAATTCAAGACCTTAAAAAAAGTTATTCTAATTATTTTATCATTTATAAATTGTTAAATAATATAATTAATCAATTCGATTAGAGGAATCTATAATGGGCTCCGTATATAAATAACAGTAACAAAATAATATAACCACTAATAGCAAATCAATCTTTGGAGCGTACTTTTTAAATATTATGAAGAACGATAATCTTAAAATACATTTACAAAATATGTTCATACATATGTAAAAATAGGAAACAAGAATAAGCTGCCGTTATATATGAATAACTAAAATTAAGCAAAAGTATATTTTAACCAAATTTCAATTTAAATAATCAAATAATTTGATAGCCAAGAATATCCAGATCATAATCCGATTAAATTGAAATAGTATTTAAACGCCAGCTCCGATAGAAAGAAGAGTACTGTGCGTTCGATCATAAAATTTTGTAGCTGTAATCATTGATAACATTTGTTTGGACATGCGAATTAAGGAAAATGATAAGGAAATTTGCAAACGCGATCATTTGACCTCAGATTTTTATTTCAAGCAGTGTAGATAACGCGAGTAGAATGACGCTACAGAGTAAGATAGTTTGTTGGCTAAGTTTTGAAAGACAAGATCATTTAACATATTGCTGAAAGCAAGATGAAGTTCTTCATTTCTTGTAGCTTGATTGTTCTGTTGTGTTTCGTGTTCAGCTTTACCGAAGGTATACGTGCGTTTTCATTCATTTGATTATTTGTATGTTTACTTATTAGAGTGATTTCATTGTCTGCTAAACCTAATTAAAGAACTAGCAAACATTCAATCAAAATTTTCATCCGAATCTACTTGAGTTCAATTTTATGAATGTTTTAATTGTTTTTGAATGATTAATTCAAGTAAAACTTTGCGAGATATCAATGACAATATTGTTGATTACAGCTGCGTCAAAACAACGCGATAAACGCTCGATCTCCACAGATCAATGCCCTCAAAACTTAACACTGGAAGAGTGTAAGAATTGGGTGGAGGAAAAGTCGAAAACGATGAATTGGTGTCATAGATATTACTTGAGTGGATTGAGTATCGAATGGCAGCGGTAGGTACAATTTTCCGAGCGGTCGCCATAGTTTTCGCAATAATATGAATCTATGAAAATTCTTCCAGTTGCGGAAGAGCCTTTTGCGGAGAGAACACCAGACTGGTGGACGAAGATTTAAGCAGGCCCTATCCCGACTGCTGTGAGCGCTGCGAAATTATCGATCCTTCAAAACCGGCCAAGTGGTCCGCCACCGGAAAATAACTTTCGCTGCTTCGAAATTTCATTCTTGCAAATGCAACCGAATGTCAATGGAAAAAAATTTTGTCTCCGCGATTTATAAGGTTAATAAAAGTTGATTATCGCACGCGAGTCTTTCCCAAGAACTTTTCTTTCGCTAAATGTTAAAAAATTATCAATTAATGATTAGATTTTAATTAGATGTTAATAATTCGATGTTAATAAATTATCTGTGTGCACTTTGCAAAAGTTTATAAATTATTCACGATAAATTAAAAGTAGTTTATTTTGATAAGACATCGATTCGAATAATCGATCAACCAATTTACAACTGCAATTCGATTAATAAAAATAAGAGCAATCGGGTTAATTATGATTGAATGTTTGTTCTCGTGCAAAGAAAAGAAGCATTATCCGACCTACTATTACGCACACGTTAACCTCAATCCCAGTCGTGTTCGTTACAAAACATACACGCGCATTACCAAGATCAAAGCCACGTCGTTCTGAAACAATGCTTCCCTCGACATTGCCTCAAGTGTCTCGACCCACAAACGAAAAAAAAAATGAAAAACTCGATCCGAAAAAGAAATCGCACGCATGACATGCCGAGCCTTGGCCAGCCACCCCCGCGCGACAGAAAGAACGCGTCGAGGAGAGAGATAGATACGTGTACCTTGCGCAAGGATTATGTCAACTGCGCTCGGCTTGGCGGCGCTTAAGTAAGAGAGACGGAAAACGGACACTCGTGCAGCGGCGAGTTGGGAAAGTGCGCGCGCGCACTGCCGCCGCTCCATATTAAGAGATCGCAGTATCGCCGCCGCCGCCGATCATTGTTGCGTCAAGTTTACGAGCTCGGCCGTTTTTTTCTTTTTTTTTTCCTCTTCCTTTCTTCGAGACGTGTGCGGGAGAGAGGCGCCGCCGATATCTTTGATTGCAGGTTGGCAGGTCGTTCATTTTTTCGTCGGGAAAGTACGATGGATTCGGCAATTACGCTGTCGGAGTTTTTCACTTCGTCGGGAAAAGTCTCGGGGTATATGATTGAAAGATAATTGCAGGTTTCGGCAAGTTGAAAAAAGTGAGAAATCGTTAGGCGCGACGAAGGAAAAAGAAAAAGAGCGGATTTGAAATCACGGTCGAAGGAAACGTGCATTTGACGGAGCAATAAAGTATAACCGTGATTTCGTTTTTTCCGACGTTCAAACAAATGATAATTACACGTCGCTCGGCCAATTACAAACGAGAAACGATAGCTCAATATTTTTGCGGCACTGCCGATTGATTGACTCGACCGTGCGAATCTTAAATCATAGATCTGGTCGCTAGGGTCGGTCTGCAGTCCAGTGCATAGAAGGCTGAAAGTGATCTACGATAATTCGCGCATGTGCGTAATTGCAAGGAGCGCGGTTACGTCCGCGCCCGATGCGCGTCTTCAAAACGAAAATTCGAAATAAGACCCGTCGGCAAATTGAGCAGAGAAAGCATCGGCGATTCTCCGGGCAGCGGCAGCGCGCACGCACACATTGCGCTTTCTACTTTTTTCTCTAAATTTCCAAAGCTTCCGGCAATCTTCGTTAGCCTCGCTCGCTCGCCCGCGATTATCATCGAACGCTCGCGGATCGCAAAAGTCAACGCGAGCCCACGATTCCCACGCGATTGCTCACAGTGCGCGGAGAGCGAAAACCTCGAAAAGCCGGAATGAGATCGTACGCGCGCGTGTGTGTGTGCGTAGTGCAGCATTGGCAGGTTGGGGCGCGTTCGTTATTGATCGACGGTAGGCCTCGACGTTCGCTCGAGAAATCCCGACGTGCCGCGATTACATTTCAGCGATCTTACGACTCGATTGATATGTCGAACGTCGAGCTGTACTCGAATTGATTTTCTTTTGTGGGAATTAGTTTGAAGACTTTATCACGATTACTCAGTATCCCTTGTTATATTTTACCATTTTGTTTCAACACACTTTTCAGATAAAATATTACGTTCGGGAAACGACGAGTTCAAGACCGCATTTGTTTTTCGTTCGTTGAGTTGATCATCCACGACGTATTGTCAGTGAAAATATTACTTTTAAAAACGAATTTCACTTGGCTACGTTCGACGGTAGCAAAGCTCCGAATAATGCGATTTCTGTTGCGGATCGTCTTGAAAAAAAGCCGAGCGAAAGAAGCGCGACACGCGAAAAGTGCAAGACCAGAAAGTTTCGGTGTAGCTCGCTCGAGGAGAGCGCGCATGCCAGCGGACGCGCTGACTTGTCGAAACATCCGTTCGGGCGCGCTCGTCGCGCGAACCAAAACGACGCGCGCCTGCAGTTGCGATCGTTCGAATTCACTTGCTCGCAGCCTTGAACTGCACGCGTGCGATATGCTTGAAGGCTCTCGCGGCGTGGCGAATCGTGAAATAGAGCGAGACGCGAACGCCGCGCGTCATTTGTAAATCGATTACGGGCTGTCTTGCGATCGATCGTCGAGGAGCCAATTATTGTACGAACTGGTCGCGCGCGGTCGCGGAGAGGCCTTACCGGGTGAAGGTGAATGTCGAGGCTGCGACGCCCACGGATTAGAACGGATTTTCGCGCGATTTCGCGGCAGAGGACGGAGCGCGGTTTTAGAGAGGACGATGACGCGACGCCTCCTGCGCTCACGGTTCTGCGTTGTCTTTTTTTCCCATTTCCCGCGGAAAGTGAAATGCCGCGGTTGACGAGTCTCGCGGACGGTGCGGTGGTTTAGGTGGTTTTTGCGTGACTGCGCTGTTTCGTGCTGATTTCCGCGATGATGGTGGAATAAACGGCTTTGCTTCCCTTCGAGTAAGCGGATCGGGTTAAATGTTTGCTCTGCGATATCAATTAATTTCATAACGAAGTTTGGTGGGTTCTTGTGAAAGACGGATATACGCAAATCCGAGATGTAACGGCATGTCGAATGTTACCGAAAACTGGACGTAATTTTCTCACTGAAACGTGTAATAGAGGTGAAGTTTCCAACTGCAACGAGTGCCGAGACAGTTTGCTGGACAACTTGCGATAGAAAAATCAATGAACATGATGCTAAGTGCAGGATGAAGCTTTTTATTTATTCTATCTTGCTATGTTTCGTGTTCAGCTTTATCGAAAGTGTATCTGTAACATTTTGCTTGATAACTCCTAATTTATGTGATTTACGCGTTCTTGATATTTAAACGTGTGTACGTAGAAGTAAAGTTATTCCTTTATCAAAATATTTTTCATTGTATAACAGTAGCAGAACCACAAGATTACCACTATTTACTTGAATGTTCGCTAAATTAAACACCGGAACAATGCAAAAAATAGCTCCTGGAACATTAATGCTTGCAAAAAGTGTGGTGAAAAGCCAATCCTTGTTGGCTCTCCACCTCTATTAAGAGCCAAGTATAGTAAGTCAAATAGAATTAATGAATATAAAATTGTAATTTTTCTTGTATACAACTTTTATAAGTGTAAATGTTTTAAAAACATTATAACGTTGGCAAAGGCATCTATGACGAGAATACTAGATCATAGGAAAAAATTTTAAGTAAAGCTTATCTAAAGTGTTGTCAGAGCCTTACAAAATTATTGATTCATTAATGTGCAGCTAAACCAAAAATAATAATCCTGCTGACCAAAATATGCTAAATATTGTCTCATAAAAATGGAATGCAGCTTGAAAATTTCGTTCATGCAACGATTCACACGAATAGTAAAGGTTGAAAATCGATAATTTAGGCGCACGAGTCTTTTCCTCTTTAAAGAATCTCCATAGCTGCAAACTCTTTGTATATATTACAAGTGTTTACTGCAAATGATGATAGGTCCGCGGTGTGCAGCAATTTATTCCCGTTGAATCCCAGGTTTTGAAACGCGAGGATTAGCAGCGCAGCCGCGCAGAAACATTTTCAATAAAGGACGTAGTTTTCGCGCGATTGCCATATTAGCATTATATACGAATCGAGCGAATCCGTTGGCACGCGATGCACAATAAAAACTTTCACCGTCTCTCTCGCGTTTCCTTTGTATATCGACCTCGGGGCCATCACGCGCATTTTTCCCCAGCGTGAAAGTTCGCGCGATCTAATTGCTACACAGCCTCGCCACATCGTGTACACACCTCTCGACGACAAGCCTGCGTGCACACACACACACACACACCCACACACACACACAAATATATATATCACTGGAAAAGTGTACGCGTGATCGTTTCGCAAACTTTTTGTGATAAACGGATCGAATCGACGACGGTAAAAAGAGAGAAGCGGCCACCTATATCCTGTAAACACGCGATACTCGTAAACTCCGAACGCGTACATTCCAGCGTGTCCCATAAAACTGTGATGCCCGCGCGCTCGCGCATGCATATTCATCGGCTGCTCTGCTCTGCGTGCCGCGCCGAAAAACCATGTTACGTTGCGCTCGTCGCGACGACATGGGCATCTTCATTTTTGCGCTCTTTCGTCAAATTATTAATTACGTCGTGCGGGGTGGGAAAGTTGTCGGACTCCCGTGGTTGTTTTACAGGCTTAATATGCATAAGTAGATTTTTTTACGTCTGACAGAGAAGAGAGAATTACGGTAATGATATCAGTGGTATATGTTTTATTGAATTGCGTTACGACATCACTGCCAATTTTATAAGGCTTATAATTCTTGCATTTTAGTGCCTTGTGAATCATTACATTTAGTTCATTGCCGACCGTAGGCGTAGTTTTTTTTTCTATATGATCGACGTGCGTCAAGTATTTAAACAATTTATCGATGTTTATTCGTCTTTAGCGTGTCTTTTCATGCAAAAACTTTGATCGGAAGTTAATTATTGTCATAAACTTTAATTGACAGCATTGCTCAATGACAAAGTTACTCTGTAGAACGAATAGTAATTGAAGTCTTTACAGCTAAAATGATAGTATTATTTGATTTATAAAACGGCTCGAGAGGCGCGTGCGAAAAACATAGCAACCTTCTTTATAGAGTCAAGTAAAGCTTATCATATATATATATATATATATTTTTATCAAATAATACAGTTTTATTGTAAGCAGCAGTCAAAGTCTGAAACGAGCTAGAAATACGCCTTTGATGGTAAAAATATAAACATGCCGGAAGAGCTACTTCAATAGAAAGAAAACGCAAAGAAAATACAGAAGCGTAACCCCACCCAAAACAATGTCATCCGCAGATTCGTTCATGCCAATCGCTCGAAAGCAATGACCATCCGTTAGATTTGAAAGAGCTTTGAAGAAAAAATATCGATGTCAAGCACGATCTCAG